GCTCCCCGCTAGCCCGATAACTAAGTGAATGTGTCGCTCGTGAGACAAAATGTGAAGTGAGGGAGATGATCCAGTTCACATGTTGGTTGGGAGGTGTTTGTCGTGTGTGACCGTAATTGCTCGCACCGAAGGCCAGGATGATGCTTGCTACCTGCGCTGAGGTGCAGTTGGTGTATCAGCCGCAGGATGTGCTGGTGTGATCTCGACAACGTGTACCGGCTAGTCAGCGCGTTGCTGTGGGGATAGACAATTTCAGACACAAAGCATCCCAGTGGGAGGGAGGGGGGGGCTGAGTCGGACAGATGCCTCACTGAAATAGGAGGCTAAGCCGTGGGTGTGCTCAGAGCACTACAATTATCACACCCTCTCCCGTATAGAAAGAAAAGGGGTAGGACTGGTAGGAGTTCTTTATTGTATACAGGAACTCAGTGGTGGCCTGAAGCCCCGACGCGCGGCAGGCCCGGGCCTTGCACGCGCGTCCGCCTGTTGGCGTCGTGTGGGCGTGAATGTGAAAACGTAATGCGCGAGTGAGTCAGTGGCCGCTTGAGCAATTGCTTGGTCAACAGCAGTCTACGACACTTGTTATTGGCTGGCCCAGATGCAGACAAGGGAGTGCAGTCATGTGACGGTTTGCGGACTTAGCACCGGCGCTATAGACTCACCATCTTCCAGTCAGAAATTGGAATAAAAGGCAGTATCAAAAACTTTAAATTTCACCGCTGCATGTAAGTTAGCATGCTGAGTGCTGAAGATACCCTTCCCCCACCTTTGATTTTAGGTAACCTCTGGTTGTGGACCAGCTCAACGTGGCAGAGCCTATAGTTGTGCAAGACCTCAAACAGGATTGAAGGCGCGCATAACCCAGTTGGTTACTGGGGAGATTTTGGCAAATTTAAATAATTAATTTCACAACTGTATCTTATGTCGATAGAAGCGAATATGCGAGTTCCAGGAAGCAGTTCAGAAGGAGAAGATGCGATTACTGGAACAAGGATTTTATTTTCAGTCGTTTCGGACACTGCCCAGAATCTTTAATCATAGGTAACCGTAGATCAGTACGAGACATGCACAGGTTGGGTTGATATATACACAGATTGTGCGGTATTTATAGTTCGTAGCGGCCAGCCGCATGCCTACTGTGATTATGAGCTCCTGTAACCACCGCTTGGCGTCTTAATTGGTGCGGTGATGGCTTGACACTCCGCGTTCGACTCATTAATGGTCGCGATTTCGTAGTCCGTGTTGGATGCGGGTTTGATAAGTGCGCGAAAATTATGTTCGCTGTAGTCAGAGTTGTGGCTGAGAACGGCCCTTCCCACGTGAGTGATTCTCTTGCTCAGGCAATGTCTCAGTACGCAGTATGGGAACGGAAAATCGTTGCGCTTGTTGCTAAACTGTGGGCCTGAGAACCGTGACTTGAGTAGCTTGCGTCGCACTCAGTTGCCACCTCTTGCGAGAATTTCGGCCTCGTTAAACTTGAAAATATGGCCAGTTCCCGTCGAGTGAGCTGTAACCTAGGAATTAGCGTTTTGCTTCCTCACTGCAACTACGCGCTCGGCCATTCGCGTCCGGAGTAATCTCCCGGTTTCTCCGACGTAGTTTTTTTGTCCACAACTGCCCCAGGTTTGGTAAACGACTCCATCCGTTTCCTGCCGTGGCAGCGGGTCTTTCGGTGATGTATCTAATGTCGTATTCCAATCTGCCAAAACCCACCTACTAATTAATTGAACCTGGTAGTGATTCAGTGTAAGCTAGAGTGATTGCTTAGGAAATCTGGCTTAGGCAGTCAGCTTACTGCATCAGAACTAGTGGATTCCTTAAGTTGCAGTAAACTGGCCCGAATGTGATTAAACTTAGGGCTCCCGATTGAGGTTTTGTTGCTCAGTCGCCTAGAGCGTGAGCTATACGTAAGCCTTCCACTTACTGGCATGGTTTTGAATCTCACCCCAATCCGCCGAAATTTCCATAACTGGGTCAAATGAATCCAGTCTGTAAGGACATAGTCGTATCAGTGGACAAGCGGGGCTGATTGTATGCGTCAAATTATATGAAAGTTGTCGCCGGTACACATAGGCGTTCTAGTCATCAGTATATCCTCGCGTGTTTCGTCTGCTTTTCACACATTATAGTGTTAAATTAACCTCTAACTTGAAGTAAACCAGTATGTTCGAGGATGGATAGGCGCAGACCGAATATATACTGATTAAGTCTAAGTTTGAGATGAATTTCCGAGGAAATTAAAAAAAATTGAAACTGGAGTATCTAGCAGAACGGACACACAGGGACTGCAGAGAGACCCACTGAGGAGCCGAATCCCTCGCAACTAAGTCACACAGTGGTAGCCTACCAGCGGAGCACGTGACTGGGCTTTTAGCTAGTGCATGTGCTCCTACGATGGTAGATAATTATGCACACTGCAGTCTTCGATTTGTATTGCAGAATTTGACAGCCTGTTTTATGAGAGTAGCAGTGGCCGACGGATGGAGGAATGGTGGGTATTAGAGTATCCTTTGACTCGTAACGCGTACTTCAATTTCCAATGATAAGAACAATTGCTATCATACGCTACTCAAAAGTGGATACATGTAGTCAATAACAAAGGGGTCGGCCAAGTATAAAGCCCGAATCTAGACAAATAAGCAGCACGGATAGGGTAACAGCACACGTGTGCAGGGTGAAGACAGGGCAAGTGTTGATTGTGTCCGACCAGGCCTGGGAGAGTGTGTGCAAGGGAAAGAAGGATGCAGCCGCTTTTAGGTGACAGTGGAGCCAGTTCACCTGGTGTGCGATTAGTGTGTTGCATTGGCGGAAGGTGGTATCGTGCACAGTGGCCCATGCTGCGTCAGCTGGGAAGTGACGTATTCTAGTGGCCC